AAAAAATTACATTATCCTCTCAGATGATGTTACTTAAAAACATAGTGGAGGATGTTTGTTTTCCAGGTGGATCATAAAAGTACAGTAAGCAACATATTCTCATTATCAGTTCGTATGAAATCGTAACAAAAGTTATGCACACTATTACGGTCTTCCTCAAGAAAACAGATCAGTGCGCATGCGCAGGCAGACAGACAAAAAATGCAGATCCGCGGACGGACGGAAAACTGGGAAAAACAGTGCAATAATTACTTCTTCATGTCTCTAACTACGTTGCTTGCTGTTTTATATCTTAGGGTTAAGGTTAGGGTCAGGGTTAGGGTTAATTGTATGTTAAATTCTATGTTATTGAATGGTGCGTAAGATGAGCATACAACGAAAAAAACGTCCAAAACGTACGAAATTACGGTGTATAACTTTTCGTACGATTTCATACGAACTCATAATGCGAATACACTGAAGTAAGTGTTCCTCCTAACTGTCAATCATTCTGGTGATGTGTTTATATAAGGCCATCCTACATGCTCCTCCCCATTTTCACTTACCGGCGGTGAGACTGACATGTGGAATAATTGCTAATCTTTTGGAAAGTGAGCCTGTATTTGCGATGCAAACAGCAACTTTTAAACAGTGCCTGAGGAGAAATAGGCCCGTGCTCTCTCATGTGTTTAATAGGTGTTCTCTTTCGGGAACGGATACAGGGTTGTGCAAGTGCATTTACTTTAAAGTGGGCAGGGTGGGTCTTTTCAATATTCACAAAAATCCTCCACTATATCTTTAGGTAAGTAAAAAAAGGATTGAGATTCATAAAGTGCTGTACAAAATAGCTAAAAGTAAAGTAAAACATAGAAGTATAACAGTATTAACCATAACCTTGTAAGAGGATCATGAACAAAACTGTGACAAAAACAATTCTGTCAAACAATAAGATTTTCAACTAGTTTAAAAACTTTCCAGTTTCAGCACATTTAATTTTTTCCACACTGGTGGAGCTAAAGAACTAAAAGCTGCGTCTCCGTGTTTGGTTTGCTTCTGGGTATGCAGAGTAGATTTGAGTCAGAAGACCTGAGATCATGGTGGTACTATAGATACATTTACAACAAGACTTAAAGGTACTTTGGAGCTCAACCATACAGTACTTTATCAACCAAGATAAGTATTTTTCAGTCTATTCTCTGGGATAGGAGGAACTATTGTAAGGACTTTAGAACTTGGCTGATGTGCTCCACTTTCTTGATTTTGTTGAGGACTTGGGCAGCAGCATTCTGGATCAGCTGCAGCTGTCTGACCTATTTTGTGAAAACAGACTTGTGAAGACACCCCTGCAGTGAAAACGATAAACCCATAAATAGTTTTTCAAGTTCCTGCAAAGACATAGAGGTTTAATCCTGGAGATGTTGTTAGAAGGTTGCCATTGTTACTGTCTTTATGTTCTTCTGAATGTTACGACCTGTGTCTATGATTGATGGTTTCTAGCTGTATTAACTGAAGCTCTGCGTTTGGAAATTCCTCCATTAATACAAAACTATTACTTCAGTTTTGTTTTGATTTGGCTGAAGAAAAATTTGGCACATTCATGCATTGAGTTCTTCAGTGATGGCAGGGAGCGGTACTCCGGCGATGTATTGGGCAGTTTTCACCACCCTCTGCATGGCCTTCTGATCTAAGGCAGAGCAGTTCCAATATCAAACTTTGGTACAGTTGGTGAGGATGTTCTTAATGGTGCAGTGGTAAAAGTCTGTGAGGATCTCTGAGGACAGATGGTTCTTCCTCAGGGTCCTCATGAAGAAGGCGGATTGGTGCAACTTTGTGGTCAGTTTGGAGCAGCTGGTCGTCCAGGTCAGTTCATTGGAGATGCAGACTTCCATGAACTTGAAGCTGTCCACACCCTCAACTGCCATCCCCTTAACATAGATGGGTGAATATGGGTCATTTTCCTCTGGAAGTCCACGATAAGCTCCTTGGTTTTTTCAATGTTCCGTTGAGGTTGTTTGTTACGCACCACTCAGCCAGATGGTCCTCCTCCTCCTCAACTGTAGTCGGCCTCATTGTTGTCTCCGACGAGGCCGATCACTGTGGGGTCATCTGCAAACTTGATGATGGCAATGGAGCCATGGACAGGTCTGCAGTCGTGAGTGAGGAGGGAGTAGAGGAAGGGACTCATCATGCAGCCTTGTGGGACTCCAGTGTTTATGGTGATGGGGGATGAGAAGTGGTTGTCCGTCTGGACATGTTGGGGCCGACTGGTCAGGAACACGAGCAACCACTCCATACTGTATGCGAGTGGACTGATGCAGGGGTCTGTGAGTTTGGTGATGTGTTTTGATGGGATGACAGTGTTAAATTCTGAACTAAAGTCTATGAACAGCATTCTGGCGGAAGTTCTCTTACTGTCCAGGTGTGAAAGGACAGAGTGCAGCGCCATGAAGACTGCATCCTCTGAGCTCCTGTTCTGCCTGTAAGCAAATTGGTGGGATCTGAGCTGAGCAAGCTATAACCAGCCTCTCAAAGCAACTTGTTGGGGGTGAGGGCAACCAGACATTAGTGATTGAGTATGGATGGGTTTGAGTTCATGGGGATTGAGACGATGGAGGAGGACTTAAAGCACGTCAGTACCACGGCGTGGGCCAGGTCCAGCTTGAAGGTTGGTTAGTTGAGGTTGAAGCAGATGACTCCAGCAATTATGTGTGTAATGTAAATAATTTACCATACATTAAGATCAATTTTGCTATAGTCAGCAATCTCATTGTAGCAAAATAATAGTACTACATAAAGTTATTTATGCAAGTAAGTGGTTCTTGCATAAAGAACAATAAAACCTCAAAGTTGTTTCTTTTGGGTAAAAAAGAAGAAGATATTTACAGGTAAACAGGCTCAAGTCCAATTAAAGTCCCAAGTTATTGAAGTAAAAGTCCAGGACAAGTCAAAAAAGAATGACTCGAATCCAAGTCATGTGATACGAGTCCCCACCTCTGGATTTAGGTTGGTAGCAGTTGATTCGGCTAATTAAAAAAAGGGGGAAAAAAAGATATTTTGGTCTAGTTTAAAAATTTTAAATGTTACGTTAAGATACATTTAGATAGAAATAAGAGATCTACAGAAAACCAAAATAAATAGGATGTAAGTCTCCTTTAAAAGGTTTGAGATAAAGGACCAAATAGATGTAAAACTAATATTGCTGGCAAAGCAGTTTAGCAACTCATGGCTTCAGCAAATTTCATCTCAGCTTGCAGCACCTTTCACACAGAGGGAGTTCCTCAGGAGGAAAATGTGTTGGAAAAAGAAAAGTCCCAGTGAGGTTCCCTTGAACAAAAACCCTTTCTGTGTACTACTGGATTGATTTCAGCATGATGTTAATGTTGTCATTACAAATGTCAGTCATTACAAAGTGCTTTCTGTGTTGGTGGGAAATAGCTCGGAGCTAAGCCAGCATACATGCATCCACAATGATGCCTTTCCAAGTAGGAGAGACTTTCCTTTTCCGCAGAAATAACTCTCCCTCTAATATGACTAATGCATTCTTCTTTAAGGCGCTTGCACTAATCTCTGCAGACAGACTTGTTCAGAAAATGTAACTGTAGTTTTACGATGCCAGTGTTTTTCTTTCTAATTAAAATAATGCTTTAGGTCATCATTTCTGCAAAGTATTTCTGAATCAGAGGTTCAGATCTGCACTTTGAATGGAACATAACAAAACAAATTAGTCTTTGTCCTTAAATCATTTATTTTGTTAAAATATAGTTTCTTGTTTTGTACCATAACTCAGATGTAACCCTAACTTTAAAACAATACTGATGATTAGTTGTACTGTTTCCTTGTTTAACAGAAAAATATTTTCCATCCAATCCCAGACAATCTTGGAAACAGCTTTACATAAACAAGCAAACCTTTTAAACACCTTCTTCATAAATCCAAGGATGCTTATTTCTTTCCTCAGTGGAGCTGCAGTGTCATTGCTGTAGGAAGTGGGAATGTTGGATGTTTCTGCAAAACCTCAGCCTTCACTGATTTGACTTCACCCAGTCAAGACTCAGAAATCCTTATAATATAGGATAAAGACCCAAAGCAAACCGAAAATCCCAGAAGCAAGACATTTGCACATGGCTGATCATCCAAAAAAAGGATGCAAGTTAAAAGATCAGAGTAAAAAAACTCAAAAGATCATAGATAAGAGCAAAATGATGACACAGAAATTACCCAAACATCAATAATCTTCCAAATTCCTCCCCAGACTTGTACAATTAATATTAGTTTTCTAATAATGTAACCTAGCAAAGTGTTTTTTTCTTGTTCCAGATAAAGTCTAAGTGATTCTCAGCTTTACAGGTTTTTAAACGGGATGATCTTTGTTTTTGAAAAGCAAAAGCCTAATGAGTGACGGATCTCAGAAAAACAAACTCTTTTTATCTCAGAGAGATTTCTGTGTGAAACAAATGATTCATCCAACCACCTCCAAGGAAGTCCTTCAAAGCAGACAGCCGACTGGCGTCTCATACAAACTCATTATGGACGTGGGGAAAGAAAAACAGTCTCAAAATGATGATACTGGGGGAAAAAAATGAAAAAATCAACAGTGATTTGTGTCTACGATCACCTGGCAGCCTATTCAGGCTGTACTTCACCTCTCCCCCAGTGAAAGTTAGACAATACCTCAACCCTGCATAGACAAGTTTTTATAGATTGAATCAATGTTACTTTAAAGCTGACATTTTAAAGAGGACAGGTAGTTTATTTGATAATAAACAGTTTATGATGATGATCACACTTCAGGATTAAGAATTAGATTTTAGATTCATAATGAACACCCTTATTAATCTATTGCATCCTGGCTCTTGGTTTTACATCAGATAACAATGACAGTAAACTTTATAACAGCATTAATGATGATAAGTTGCTAATTTTAATTTTTTTCGCAATAAAGTAACTATTTGGCTTAAAAAAAAAAAAGATCTCTGCTCAAATAAATGAGCAGGGAATAAACCTCTGCTAAATGATCTACATATAGTTATGTAATGGCGCCACCTGCTGGCTATCTGTCTACATTGTCTAAACTGAACTGGGCTTGATTGTATGGTACTGTATTAATGTATTAACCCTTTATAAGTTATTCAGTGAAAGACTTTAAACATCTAAATTTCAAGCAGAGTACACTGTAAAGAAAACTGAAATCTAAGTAAGTCAGTTTTTCTTAAAATAAATGCATTAGTTTCTTGAACTGAGCAGGTAAGTGAGATACTTTGCAAATGAATAAAAAAATGTACATTTAAAATAAAGGAATAAAATGCAGTCTCCTATTTGAAGTGCATAATATCAAATAATCTGATCTTAAGGATAAAAATGCTTCTTCAACTGGGAGGTTTTCTTATTTACCTACTCAATTAAGGGTAAATATGCTTATTTTAAGACATTTTCACAAATTTCTGATCATTTTTGCAGTGTGTTATCTGAATCCAGGATAAGACCTTATTACCTTTGTAGCGTTAAAAAAATATGTATATTTTGATGGCATAAATGAATCTCAATGTAATAACAAGAAGCGCCAATTTGCCCGTATATATTAAGAAAAATAACAAAAGTGCTTCTATAAGAAATTCATGAAAAACACTGAGACTATAAGAAATTACACTCCATTTGCAAGGGGTATGCAAGGGATCAAAAATGGTAACTTGCCCAATAAAGGGTTAAGGGCTTGGTTTGATACCTCTGGGGAAGTGTGAAAGGAAACCATCATATACTAAATACAGAGCCATGTGAATAATACATTGATAAAAAGGCCTTTCAAAACACAAGCTGAAGGTTTAAAATGACGGAACGATGACCTTTTTAAGACCTTTTTAAGACATAACTATTTGCAAGTAAATAAAATAGTTTTGATTTAAAACAAAAACTCTAATAGTTGTTGATCTTTGTTCCCGAAAGGAGAAATTCAGGTTGAAAATGGTTATAAATGAAAATTGTGGTTGATGAATATTAATGGCTTTTAGCTTAAGAAATGTTCTTGATGGTTATTAATGCAACAACAAGGAATATAATTTACATTTCTTTTTTTAGTTTGTGAGAGTGGCCTTTTTGGACAGTAATAAAACAGGAAATTGGCACAGAAAGAAGGGTTAACCCTTCATAGGGCACTCAGTGAAATACTCTGAAAATCCAAATTTCAAGCCAATAATGTTATTGGAATCAAGACCTTATAACCTTTGTAAGATTCTGTCAGGATCCGGGACTTTGCCCACCAGAGGGCGCCGTGGATCCAAGCCTGGGGAGTTTGGACGCAGCTTGATCAGCTGTTTCCAGTCTGCTGATTGCGGAAGTTTCCTATATAAGCTGTGTGTGAATATCTCTCTGTGCTGGATCGTGTGTCTTACCTGTGCCATCATGCCTGTCTGAGCTTTGAACCTGTAGATTCCCCGTGTTCCAATAAATATTGGACTTTTATTCCTCCCTCCGTGTCTGTGAGTCTGCATATGGGCTAGTAAAACCAACGCATCATGACAGATTCAACAAATACAGATATTTTGATGGCAAAAATGAATGTCAATGTAATAACAAGAAACGCCAACTTACCTGAAATTGTTAAGAAAAATATCCAAAGGGCTTCTATAAGAAATCCATGAAAAACACTCTGAGAGTGAAAGAAACAAATGTTTTTTGGTACAACATAAACTTAGAGGCATTAATGCTGATACTGGCATTTACATAACATAGTTTATAAACCTAAATATAATTGTTAACCAGGATTATTAACTTCTTAACTTTACTTTTTAACTTTTTACATTTTTTTCTTGACTTGACTTTTTCCCCCAACTTAATTTACGGTATGTTATATATCATTTAAGGGCTCATCTAATTGTTCAAATGCCAAAATAAGATGTACGGCCATGTATCTTTGCTGAATGGCTGGATATAGATCATGTGCTTCTAGACCTCACTGAGGGACGGGGAGAGGGGGGGGACTCCATTTGTACTGTAAGGGGTATGCAAGGGATCAAAAACAGTGACTTGCTCTATAAAGGGTTAAAGAAGGGTTTAAAGTCTGTTAATGCAGTGTGGCTCTGCTACACCAAGCAAACAACCAACAGGTTTTACTTTTTCTGAAAGATTCTCTGTTTTCTTTTTATCTACATATAGTTATACAATGGCGTCACCTGATGGCTTCCAGATGTTTTAAGGTGAAAGGGCATCTGTGGTCACCTTTGGATCTGTTGGTGTGAAATGAATTCTCTTTTAAGTTTAATTATAAAGTTACAACAGGGTTAAGCTCCTGTGTTTATCTGCTTCTAGAAGAGAGAAAAAATCTTTCTCTTCTCCATTTATTTGTATAGTGCAGGGATGATCAAATGCAATCCCTCTGGATGCATCAACATCTGAATAAAATGAATACCTAGTTAGTAGAAATCTGCAGGGATAGATGCCACGCTTTAAAGGAAATATAAATATTTGATTCAGTGGAGCAGGAATGCATCTAACTGTCACAGGATGCATTCACATGCATATTAAACGCTGATGCCTCAATAGAACAAAATCTTTGCTACTGACAAATAGGCTACAAATACGTAAAACTGCTCATAACTTGGGAAAATAAGGACACAGGAGACGGGATAAGTTTGTGATCACATGAGCACTTTGTTATTTAACATCCATAGTAGTTTGATAACGTCATACATTGTATAGTCTGGACACGGACAGAAGAGCGGTGTCACTGATGCTGAAGGTATTTACAGGCAGCCAGCGGGACAAAAGAGCAACAATCATTCTCAAACAAATCACCCCTGAGCCTTCCTGCTTCTTAAACAACATAAACAAACCATCCATCCTCCAAGAGAACGTGGATTAGAGTCAGCAGGGTGTTAGCATTAAATCTAAAGCTTATACTTCCTGTATCAAATAAGAAATGCACTGATTAATCAATAATATTCATACATACGTACTGTAGAGCTCTACGGCAAAAATAAACCCAGTAACTCACAGTTGGAAGTTAAATATATTTACAATTCAAATAAATGAGAAATAAAAACTATACAATGAGACAAAAACGATTTGTCAGTGATAAATGGAAAAAAAAGTGCAAGCAGAGATTAATTTATTACATTTACATTAATGTTGCCACCTTTAATGCGTTTATATTGGGGTCGTTTTTCCATCATATATTTTATTTGAACCGTTATTTCAGTGGAAGGTGGGTAGCTTATAGGTACTTAGCACTCTAGGCCACTGAGGCTTCCCTTTAAATATTCCCATTTGATTTCTCCTCAAACCTTTCTGTGACGACAGGAGTGAGGGGACGTGTCAAAGCAGAAGGAGCATATATAAAATATGTCGGGTTAAATAAAAAGTGGACCGTCGTCTTATTTTTCCCCATCGTGAGCACTTTAAGACAGAGATGTCATGTTTTCCCCTTTAAATGTGAAGTAAGAACAAATAAAAAAAAACTTTAAAAGCTTCTCTGATGCTTTTCCTTTTAAACTGATGCTTAACTAGCTGAATAAATAAGTACAAATCACATGTATTAGTGCATAAATGGATTTACAGTATGTACTGGCAGATGAAATAAACATTTAACTTAATTGCTTTATTCTGTAGTCCCCAAACCGCCAGGCCTTGGCTTAAAGATTAATGTGAAGCAGATCCGGTGAAGCAGGATCACTGCAGTGGGAAGCTAGATTCTATTCTTTGTTTTTTTTAAAGCGGAAACCAGAAGCTTTTTTTGAATATAGCTCTAATCTTTTCTGCCTAAACTACAACTTTGAATTAAAACAACATAAAGTTTTATGAGCGGAAATAAAATAAAATCTGACAAAAAAAAAAAAAAAACAGGATTGCTACAACTAGAGCTCCATCTCTTCGGGGGCTTAGCCTGCAGCACAGCAGAGAGGGAGGGGCCTGCATGTTAGATTTTTTTTAGCGATGTTTGTGAAGAAAAAAAAAAAACTGATGATTGCACTTCTGCAGTTGGACAACAAATGGATTACAGAGTTAATTCCTATTTTTCTATCTTAATTAATGCCTTTCATGGGAATAAATAGAAAAACAGATAATCTGAGGCTTCATTTCTGTGGCGGACATTTAAGCAGCACAGCAAAGAGCAGCCAGGTGGGGTGTTTAGTCTACTGGTGAGGATTCCTTCACACTGCGCCCAGATGATAAATATTTAGGCTGAATGGTAGCACTGCTAAGCTTTCAGGACAGCTCCATGATGAGAGGATGTGGTTCTTGGAGAGGCTTTGGGTTCGTGTCATGTCTTCTCTTTTGGTTTGCTTGGATGTTAGCATGCTCTCTTTTCTGGATGTTAGGTTGACATTGCGTTTGTAGGTGGATCTTACACGTCTGTGCATCTTCTTCATATGTTAGTGTTTTCAGTCACTGTACAGCTAAAAATGGCGGCCCGGAAACCCTTGTTCTGCGAAGGGTTGTTTCCTTTCACTAAGAGAGTTTGATCAGAGCTGTCTGAGTGCGGTTTCACTGTGGCTGTCCCCCATGCTGCTCAGGGTCACATAAATGATGGGAACCAGACCCTGGGTGGAGCCCAGGGAGCAGAGCAGCCAGTCCGGGTCGGCCTTCCTCAGAACCTGCAGGACGTCGCCCTTGTTGAAGCTCAGCTGGCCGGGCTCGGTGGCGATGTGGTGGCACAACGCTCGCACTTCACTGAGAATAGAAAAAAGGGAGAGGGAATGAAAGGTTTCAATTATCCAGAAGAAAAAAAAAAAAATATATATATATATATATTGCAAACTGTTTGAAAACTATTGAAGGGTCCAGCTACTAAACACAAAATCCAGCATCAATTTAATTTGTCTATTGGATTAATAATATATTTCTAAACTCAACTGAATCCGGTGCTACATTAAAATGAATTTTAAGATCATTTGGAAAAACTCTGAAGTCGCCTGTTGCTATGGTTACTACCGCCTCTCCTGAGGCTATGCCTGTACAAAAGTGAAGTAGTGTAGAAAGAAGAACAAAAATGTCCTTGTTGTCAATTAATCTCCAACTTTATAACAGGCATAGCCTAAAAATAAATAAATAAAGGAAATTGAAAAACAACAAAGTTAGACATGCAAACTAATAATTGAAGTGTTTTTAAAGCTTAAAAATTAGCATCCGTCTTTACAATCCTCTTAATTCTGTAAACATTTTGCTCCTTTATGAAAAACAATAACAACCTAATATGTTTAAAGTTTAGCTTATTGGTTGTTCAAACATGGAAGAATACATGTATTGATCTTTTTGAGATGAGTTTGTTTTAGATGATATAGTTACAGCTGATATTAATAATATTTTATGTCTTTACACACAATATTATCGGATATAATATTGCCTTACATTTGACAGCAGATCAAGGGATCTTCCTCAGATGCTTCTGCTTTAAATGTTCACATGATGTGCAGAAACATTCAGACAACATGCAGCAGTTTAGCTGAGTGGATCTCTGGTGAAGAAATTATGTTTTTTACCATGAAGACGATTGCTTAGTTTCAGTTGCACCCCTGGATGGCAGTGTCGCTGTGGTTTGCCGGTGATTGGGGGTAACAGGAGGCTCCGCCTTCTTCCCGCCACCTGCTCCAATGACAGCTACCAGGTCCAGAAGAGATCTGTCGAAAGCAAGCCAACCTGAGGGAGGCCTGAAACACAGAAACAGTACTATAAATACAGAGATGGATAAGTTAGTTCTGTCTTTTTTTGTACACTAATCATCTAAACAGGAGGTCTTCAACAGGGGGTTCGTGACCCCTAGGGGGTCCACGGAGGTACTGCATGGGGTCGCAAAAGTTTTGGTTGATTAAACTTTGTTTTTTTATATTACCCCATAATTCTTCCCACTAATTAAAATGTCTTTAATTACACATTAACATGAATTCAACACACTGTAGTAACCCGATAAATGGAGGCAGATGTCTTTCAGTCATCAATGCACACATTCAGCGAAACACAGGAGCTCTTTTAAGGTGGGCACCATTTCATTCACAACACCTGTCCCATCAACCAGGAATCAGAATCAGAAATACTTTAATTATCCCAGGGTGAAATTACTTTCGTTACATTACTCTATCTGTGATAGAGTGACTATAGGACCAGTTTTTATATAACACAAATTTATGCAATGTTACCCTTGAAAAACCGATCCATGCCGAGACCGGTCCGAGCTCAGATCAGTTAACCAGGCTGAGCTCGGTTCTGACGACCGTTTACACATCACGCTATCTCGGTTCCTTGACTCCTCGCCTCCTAGTGACGATCTGCGGTATTACTGCCAGTATTTAAGGAGGAAATCAAGCAGGTGGCGGCGGTGATGCACCAAAAGTTGTTTGCCAACCGCCATAAAACACAAGAAGAAGAAGACGAAGAAGGAGGGAATCACGCAAATCAAAATGGCGGCGCCTGTCACATTCAGAAACGTATGCTTGATTATTAGTGCTGTACTTCGGTGTTTGCGGAGGGTCAGGTGAAGACGGCAACCTTTCGTGGATGTTTATAGTTGTTTATAGTTGTTCTTCTTCTTCTGTTTTGTGTTGGTTGGCAAGCAACTTACACACGGTAACTTATCTCAGTTACTGAGCTTGGACCGGTCTCGGCACAGTTTTTAAAGGGTAGTGTAAATGGGGTATTTATATAATTAGGGGGTGCCCGCTCCATCTCTCCATCAGTTTGGGCGCCTTTGTCTAGGAAAACGTTGAAGGACCCTGCTCTAAACCTGTCTTCTTGTGTTGCTTTTATCATTTTTAATCAATACTGAAGCTTTATGCAAAAAATATGTGTACTGGAAGAAAACCAGAAAATCTTCTTTAAACCAGATGCTTTGCTGAAATAGTTTTATGAACATTAAAATAAGTAACAGACTCTTCTCACCTTGTTTTTTGGGTTTTTGCTCTTAGTTCTGCTGCCTCAGGTCTTTGAGGAGAACCAGCAGTGGAACCAAAGAGCCGTCCCCAGCGCAGACTCTGCCCCTGAGAGGGGCTCTCATCCTGGGATGATGACCGGACTGCAGCTCCCTCCAAGACTTCTGTGTGTTTTTCTTGGTTGAGGACAGATTCTGGGGGGCTGCCCATCCAGGAAGGCCTTCCTCTGGATCCAGCCGACTCCCTGCTGGAACTGCTGCCACTTGTCCCTCTTTCCCCTTCAGAGTTGGACTCGGCACCTTCCACCACTCCTTCTCTTGGGGGTGGCGGCTGGTTCTGCCGTCTCTCTGAGGATTTCTTCCTTCTCTCAGCCTTCACAAACTTTGAACCCTCTGTGGACTGGTCGATGTAAACCTGGGAGGACTGCATCAGCTGGTACCACCAGCCAGCCTGCTTGTCTCCCCGCTGACGGCTCTCCTCCTCTGGATCCTTCCTCCTGTCCCGCTCCTTTACCTCCCCTCCCTCCTGTCCTACACCTTTCACCCTCTGCCCTTTGTCCGGCCTCTCCTTCCAGACATTAGCCATGCCCACACCCTCTCTCCTACACTCCGTCCGCTCCATTCCAGGCCATGTTCCCTCGCGCCTTAGCCCCGGCCTCTCGTTCTTCTCCTCCGTGCCCGTGTCTCTGACCATCTCGCTGACGGTGGCGCTCCATCCCCTCATGAGCTGGAAGGTGGAGCGGCTCGACTGCCCCGCCGAGCACAGCTGTTCCTTGCGCCGCATCTGCTCTTGGCCCTTCTGGAGAAGGTGCTGCTCAAACAGGAGGTCGAGGTCAAACGGGAGGAGCGAGAGCGGCTGTAGGAGTAGAAGGAGCTCCTCAAACAGAGGCTTGCACGCCCCGTGTGAGAGGGGGAGGAAACCCCACGGGCTGTAGTGTGCTGCTATGATATCTGGAAGGCAAACCCAAAAATCAGCACAAGTAAGAGACGGAACAAACAGGGAAATGTCAAGCTAATATCAAATGGCATTCACTGTGTAGTTACCTTCATGTGTGTTAAGGTGATTAAACCAGAACTCCAGAGATTTCATGCTGAAAACAGAGGATAGCACATTTATCAGGAAGGGATACATGTCTGATAAAAACATCAAAAACAGGGAAAGCAGAGAAATGTGCAGAGCAGACTGAGCGGCTTAGAAACACTAAAAGGCGTCTTTCTCAGTGTCGCGCCTTAAGGATGCTCATCGCTGACAGGCTTTTAAAATCCGACATTTCAGGTGGAGAGTGCTGCTCTTTTTGAAGATTTAAAAGTTTACTTCAGCCACAACTTAGTCGTTACTACAAGAATTACGGAGAGCATTTAATGGCTTCAGGACACAGAAAACAATCGATGAAGAACTCACTTGAGCAGGCCGAAGATGAATGCGTTGAGCCTCATGCTGTGACTCGTCAGTTCTGAGAACTGGCTCACCTTGGAGAAGAGGCTGTGGAGAACGCGAGTGGACGGTCCTGAGGGAAGGAAGGAATTCAGAAACTCCCCAGAGACAAGAATTCATCTTTTTTTTTTTTGCACAATTAAAATGAATGTCTTAATCCTCTGCAGTTGCTCTGGCCTTTAGACTACAGTCACTAAAGAGGGAAACATACTGCTTTATATCTTTGGAGTAAACATCTAATATATACTCTATATTGACTTCCTTAAAGCTACTGTCTGCTTTAATAATCACAAATTATCCGTCTCACCCAGCTGGGTGGATGCCTCCACTATGCTCCAGGGCTGACAGCGGCGCTGTCCGATGATCAAGTCCAGCACGTAGGCCTTCAGACCGTCCTGCAGCAGGTTGCGAAGCGCCGGGCAGAGATACTTCAGGATCAGGTGCCCCACGTTGGGACTGACCCAGCTGTTCCCAAGCTTGGCCTGGTGGGAAAACAGAGAAAGAGGCAGATTCAGAATCACATCCAAAAGCTTTAGAAATAATCCTACTCTGTTCTGCTAAAAATTACATTATCTATCCATCTAAACATAAACCAGATTCTAAAATACAGATTAAAGTTGTTCTGCTGTTTGCACAAACAATGGTGGGCTCCTTATTTGGAAGTGCTGAAGACCAGCCCTAAATGTTTCCCTTTTTTGGTTTTCTGAACAGCCCCAGGCAGCCATTAAATTACCAACCTTCACATCAGGGTCTCTGCTGGTACCGAAATGTGCCACAATCAGATCCACTGCCGTGTTCACGGCTTTCACCAAACCTGGTGGAAGGAGAGGAAGGGCAGAAATATCAGTCTGTGAGTTATTTCTCAGCTGAGTTCTATTAGGGGAATGCTTCAGGTTAAGATGTTATACATAACTTTTTAACCTAGCATTTAGGGTTATTGTGATAACTTTAAACATCATTTCTTTTATATTTAACCATATAAGAGTTAACTCTGCAACAGTTGATTTCTAGTCTTCTTTGTGAAAAACAAAATAAATGTTAATGTTTTCACATAGATACAGGATCTACTGAGGAAGAGACTTATAAACTAAATAAAACCCTAAAAAACGCAACAATTGTTAAACTACTTCCTAAATTCTGAAGTTACAAACATAGCTTGATACCCTGAACAAGAGAAACTTCCTAAAACAAACAAGTATCTTAATAAACATTATTTTGTCCTGTGTAAACTCCCCCTAAACTCCATAGAAGCCTTAGAAAGCTCATCCTGGTGCCTGTCAATCACCCTGCTGGTTTCAAACTGGGCTTCTCCTCCTCTAAGGGGAGATCAGGATCAGAGCAGAATAAAAACTTCTCATATAGCTTCTTTTTGCTCTTTGCAGCGAAATCACTTCCCTGGATGTGAATCTACAGAGCAGAGAAAAGGAGCTCAGAATGAACCCACACTCTGTGAGGCAGACAGTCTCTATTAGAGCACTTAAAAACTCCACTTCTTATCAAATCTGCAGTTAGAATGGCTTAGTTTGCCATGATGTCCAGTCCTAAGGACCCACCATCCTGAATGTTTTAGTTTTTTCTCTGTCGCCTCACACATGTGTGAGGCGACAGAGGCGCCTCTGTAGCCTTTGATGGCTGGTGAAAAGCGAATGAAATCTTTAGTTGCGTTCTGAAGTAGATGCATCTGAAACATGCAGGGCGGTGGGTTGTAAAGACCACGGTCACTGAGATGCTCCCTCCTTTCCCTCTCCTCTTGGGCATTATTAGACCTTACTTCTCCTATTAAGCTTGTGTTCTCTCTCTGTTTTTCCTCTCTGTCAGATTATGTTCTGTGCTTCCATCTTCAGCTTTTCTAGACAAGGATGGAACCACAAAGCATTGGATCTCTTTGTGGATCTCTTTTTCAGTCCCTTTGTGTGGGAGTTTATTTTGGTGAAAGTCTCAGAGACAAATACTCTGAATGAGGCTGGTTCTTCCTGACTGCTTCTTCTGTTAAAATGGACTCCTTCTTTCCCACTGTCACCACATTCTTGCTGTAAATTCAACACCTAGATGCAATCATTGGCCTCTTTAGATAAAAACTTTTTTTTACGAACATGCATAAAATCACAAACAGAGTTTAAATATAGTGGATAACAATTGATCTTCAAAGGAATTGTGTGCAACTGGCTTTTAATCTGATATATAGTAATGTCTAACAGAAAATGATTTAATTATACTGAAATTACAATTACAACTAAAATCTTCACAACTGGATCTGAATTGTTCTTTTTTGTTATGGATGAAAGGAAGGTGGTGTTCTGCAAATACATTTAAAAAAGGCTCAGAAACTTTGCTTCTTGTTTCAGTTTGGGGTTTAGTTGCTTTGGGTCAGAACCACTGAACAAAACACTTAATGCAATGCAGAACAATGAGGGGAGACAAGAAAATAATAAGGAATAAATCCTATTTCGAAACTGAAATATGTTAGATCAATCTGCAGCTTGAATTTATCAATAAAAATATGCTAAAAGCATGAAAACATAAAGCACAGCATTGCAAATCAACTTTAAAGAGTAACTGTTAATGTTCAGCCCAGGTTCAGATTTTGCCATTTAACACGTTGAACTGCAGGGGATGCTGCACGTCATGCCGGGTCGTACCTCTTTTCTGCGTCAGGTCCACCGAGATGTGAGGTTGAGCGGAGCAGCAGGTGGAGGAGGAAGTGGAGGCATCAGGCGACAGGCAAAACTCCTCTGGCGGCTTCTCTGTCAGGGAGAAGTAATTCGGCAGGAAGTCGCTGTAGCTCTGCTGCAGCTTAGCTGATGGACCTGCTTCAAGCACACAAACCAAAACACAAAATAAGAGACCTGCTTGGAAATATCCTTTCTGCTCCAAGCATCAGTTCTATTTATCTGTTCGATTCTGTAAGCTTGTTAGAACTGTATCCTGAGCACCATGGGGCCATCCCAGCGAGGGGCCGGAGTGAACTGTCGGGAAATCGAACACGTTGCGTCGCGTAGGCCGCGTTGCCCCTGTTCTTCTGAGCTCCACGTTACTAGCAGAGCGGCCCCCAGAGTCCCTTTCTACTCCCAGGGGGTTTCGGCGACGGTACTCCCTCCATTTTAGAGCCTGGGGGGACAGGTGGTGTGCTGTGGAGGGGGTGATGGCGGAGTCAAGTGGAAAAGGGGTTTTATAAAGTAAAATGATGCAGCGGAGGAAATGAAACATGGAGGCAGTTAAAAGACAAACAGGGGGACATTTAAAGGCATGCATGAGCGGAGGGAGGAAAAGAGGAGAGAGAAAAAAGAGAACAGTAAGAATGTGCAGGAGAGTTTTTCTACAAATACAGAATTGAGTGCAGCTGGTCACCAGACACAGTCAGAAAAACACCCCCCTTTACAGATAACCTTACGCCTAATTCTGAGAAGAAAAGCATCCGAGGTAAGAGACAGCAAAAGGGATTAAGAAGAACCCAAGCAAAAGATAAAGGAAGTAAATAATATTTACCCCTTAGAGATTTCTTTCATTTGTTTTCACATTTAAATGTTTTAGATTCTCATCAGACAGAAGTGGTATAGAACCAACAGAGCATTTCAGAAAAGCAACACGTCAACAATGAAACATGGTAAGGGTAGTATGATGATCTGGGGATGTTTTGCTGCTGGATGATCCGCTGTGACTAACAGTTCTCTTCAGCAGTAAATCCTGAAGGTGGATGAGCATCAGTTGGTGACTTTAAACTTTAAACAAGACAAGGTTTTAAAGTGCTTGAGCAAATCCACCTTTAAAATGCCAAGAGATGGCACTTTAATATGACTGCTTTAAACAGCTCAAAGGTACAACAATAAGTTTGAATTAAGATAAATGTAGCAAAGAAGGTTGAGCTTATCTCCCTACAAAGTTTGATCAAAAGTAGTTTGGCTTAAAAGAACTGTTTAGCTTCTGGGTTCATATTTTCACAAATAATATTAAGATTTAATGTCCGTTTTTTTTGGATCAGAACATAATCGTTACCCAGCCAAACAAGACCAAAGTAGGGATGTTTAGATAAAATGCACAACACTTCATGCCAATGTGAATCTCGGCAGTAGATGGATGGTGATCTGGGCTTCCTCTGCAGCCACAGGATTCTAAAAAAAAAACAACTATCTATAACTATTCCCATCAGTCTGTATTAGATTCTCAAATAAGATATTATCTAACAGCTGAAACTAAAACCAAACCAGGTGGGGCAGTTCCTAAACACAGCAGCAGATCTGCTCCAGAATAACTGAAAAAGAAAATAAATCTTTCTGCTGCAGAGGCTCAGTCAGAAAGCAAATATTTTAATTAAATATTGTTGATGGAACTTAAGAGGCGGGTGTTTAAAAAAAAAACTAATAATCATGATCAAACTAACAATGATAATAACTCACTAACTTATATCATTGCTGCTTACCTTATCAAGACTGCCCTTTAAAAAATGAGGTTGTCAAGAGAGCTGTTCTAAACGAAATGTCTTATTGTTTACACAAAATAAATAAATAAAGTGTAATGTAAAAGAATCAGGGTGACCAAAGGTCAATAAGTTCAAGTTTTATCAAGTCTGAAATTTATATGTTTTTTGTTTGTTTTTTAAACACCAGATGAATATAAAAATAATAAAAAACATTGTAACCTGTTAAAGACCAAACCCTTCTCATTATATATAAAAGAAAAGAAGTCATACCCAGAAGTCCTACTCAGTTTTTCAGGAGAATATAAAGACTTACAAGTTAAAGGCTGTATTTTGTGCCAGGAGGATCCAGTAACGTATTATTTAACAGTATTTCTGATTTATTTTGGGACCTACCATTCTGAGTTCTGCTTGCAGGTCCTTTGCCTTTATCTGCATGTTTTCCAGAGTCCAGGCAGCCCAGTGGGCTTAGAGTGTCGCTGTGAAGAGCTGGTACGTTATGGAGGGCTCCATGGTGGAAACACTGTCCCTGCACAGCAGGCAGCGTAGGCGGCACCACGCCCCTCTTCACCCCTAAGGATGGGGGAGGAGTGGGAGGTAATGGCGCTGATCCGCTTCCCTGTCTAACAGTAGGCGGAGTGTGCAGTGAGCCGAGACCTCCTGAAAGCGGACAGGAGAGGCTGTGTGTCGGTTTGGGACTGGGGGTGCAGGTGGAACAAGAGCCGGAGCTGGGCGCCCCCTGGAGACGAACTGGGGAGTAGCTCCCTAGAGGCGAAGGCCGCACTGATTCGGTCGGAGGAGCCTTGGCGCTGCGAGAACTCTGGTAGCCGGGCCCTTTCTCAGCGGATTCTTCACTTTCCTCATCAACTGGACCTCCAGAACCGGAACCTGAGCCCGAACTTGTGCGAGCCTGCATTCCAGAGACGTAGCCAGTGAGGAGCGGCAGCAGAGGCTTGGGCTGAGGGGGTTTAGACGTGAACTGGTGGTGGAAGGTGAAGGGCTGGATGGGGAGGGTGGTGGGCCGCTGGTCTTTACTGTAACGGACCACCACCGGTGGGCTTTCTGAGGAGCTCGACAGAACACCTGGATGCAAACAAGAAAAAACAAGAAACAGATTATTAGCAGCAGTGATAAACAAGAGCTGAGCACCACTATCTATTTTTATAATCTTTTTTTATAAACAAGGAAAATAAGCTGTTTAAAAGAAGACTTTCCCCTCTATAAAAATATTTTTATGCACCACTTAACAACTGTTCTTCAGGTTATAAGCGTCTGCAAATGGCAGATGTAAAAGTTTGGGGTTTTTTTTGCCTGTTTTTAGACAACTTTTCCTAAATTGTCATTCCATGCACTTGTTAAAATCTATTGAGACCCCTTTTTGGTATTACTTTTTGTAAAATAAAAGATTTTCTGGCATGAGATTTAAAATATCAAATCATGCTGAAATATTAAACCTTGCAAAGCCATGTCTTTGTAGACTCAATCTGAAGGCAATAAAAAAAAAAAAACTTTTATCTCATTGTTTAACAATTCAAAATAACTGCAAATGTTTAATCTGATTTAATGCCAGAACCTGAGGAATATCTGTTTTTTGTACTTTTTTAGTATAAATATCTAGTTTCAACTCTCCACACCTTCCCACATGCAGAGCAGGCTAAAAACGTAACTAGACAACACAACAAATATTAAACCTGTGGACTTCTAAACTCCAGCTAGCCTGGCAATACCCTGCTACATGCAAACTCTTCCTCTATGCTATATTGATTTACTTATCATTTAAAGGCACAGTTTGTGATTTTTGAAACTAAAATATTAAAAGCATAAATTATTTACTCCCAAAAATATTGTTCTGTCTCCTCTTATTCACACGAACCCTATATTGTGTATCTCTGGCTCTATCATCACAGCTTAAACTGAAAATGACTGATGTATAAAGTGATTGAAGGAGAAACTCCTGGTAGGTGAACTGACTGAGGATCAGAATACAGCACAAGCATGAAGGTTAAAAATGGAAAACAGCGAAAACTGCCCAGTCATAAAAAGCTTAACAGCCCTTATCACACACAGCCATACTACTGACACTGCTCTGACAGGCCAGCATGAACACAAACACCCACATACACAAAGATCTATCCAAAAAACACACAGACATACTGAACCTGACCCTGCATGGGAAGAACGGGGGAGCAACGCTTTTCACAGCGAGTCACAAACTGTTTCACTGAGTGTTTATGGATCCACTTTGCTGCATGACAGACAGGGGTTTGTGTGACGTCAGCTGCATTGCGCAAGCTGTTTGTCACCAGAAGACCAGCCTACTGTCTGATATGGGTGCAGCCATGTATGTGAACCACAGGGGGCAGAGTTTAGCTGCTAACAAACAATAATAGAAAGGGGGGGTGCAGAAAGCTTCGTCCCTGTTTGTAAAATCTGCTCCATTCGCCATGGTTTTCTAGCATTTTAACATCTAACCATCAGCATCCATCCGCTCAGCTCTCTCCTTTCATATGCATGCATCAGACAGCCGAGCCTTCTTCCTTCCACGGATTTGCTGCTCGTTAGCATCATTAGCGGGGAAGCTGTTCCAGTAGAGCTTTTAAACAGAGCTGCTCTGTACGCTGCTAAGACACTGAAGTCTGATGAATAATATATGATTGGAGAAGCTGCACTGCTGCTTGTTACGGCTCTAAATCATGACAGGCTGTTAGGATACAGTGAAGCAAAGAGGAAATAAATGACAGAGGCCTATGGGTAAAAGAAGAAATGCTGGATTTAAACTACAGTTACAGGGCCTAAAGGACAAATTACATAAATTCCAGATCTCATTCTAAATAAAAGGTTGAGAGCTGTTCTGTTTTACACCTGAATACTTTTTATTTAATTAATGAAAACAAATGATAGAAACACCCTAAAAGGAAACTAATTACCACTTTTGTCATTTTCAATGGGTTGTTTGGATGCTATTATCACTGTGGCGAAGATTTTTTATTTTATGATACTATGTTATTATACTTGATTTAACGGCCAAGATTTAGGACAATCTTGTTAATAACAAATAATTTATTAATTATCAACAATAACTAATTATTAATAACTAATTTATATCCTTTAATGGGTATTGTTTAGCATTATTAGAGATTGATGTCCAACTCTAGCTTCTTTGATCTGTTTACTTGTAAAAACATTGGGAAACGACTTAACTACAATATTCAAGTTTATAATAATGCACCACTTTACATTAACCCAAATAATGTAAATTAAAGTTTTTGGTTTTAATATGACAAAACGATTTTGAAAAGTGCTGCATAAACTTTTAAAATCTTTCTCACGCTGTACATTTTATAGAAAAAGCAAGAAATTTTAATGCCTACTTTTAGAAATCAACAAAGATATATTTTTCAAAGATATTTAAAATCTCATGCAGACAGAAAAAGGCTGCAGCACAGTCCTCTTTTACAGGTACTTTCACACAACTGGGGACTTTTAAAAGGAGTTAAAGACCTTACTTTTTAAACTTCTAATGAATGCTCATTTTCACTGGGCATTATTTTGTCTTTTTTTGGGATTTGATTATTTTATCTTATAGGTTTTTGTACAGAGTTTTGTAATGGTTTTGTCTTGTAAAAAAAAAAATTTGTAAGACTTAAAGTAAGGACTTAATGTTTAACCTGTTCTCTCTTGAAGTTTATGCCTTGATGAAGACAGTGACTGTAAAAAAAAACGATAAATCGGCATTTTTTTTAAAACATTTTTTTTAGAGCACCTGGGGAGAACTATCCACTATCTCTAAGGAAATTCCAGGACTCCTAACACATGAGTGTTTGGCTAACCTCCAACTGGAGAAAAAAACTGTGACTTGGCATAAAACGCAGAGAAAAAGGCTTCACTCCAATAAATACCTTTACGCATATTAAATTTAAAGCAAGGATCTTCTGCTGGAGATCCTTGGCAGAGCCTAGGATCATCTCCAAGCAGCTATTTAACAGCAAATCTTACTACTTCTAGTTTATTATTTTTTAATGTCTGCATAATATTTTAGAGTTTGTATTTTGGAAGAGTACCAGAGCACTGCTAATGCAGATGAATGGATTTCTTGTCTTCTGTTTCTATGTTACTAGTTAAGCTCAGATTAAAGACGACAAAAAATTTAACTCTAAATCTAAGTGTTTTAAATCGAAGATGATGCACTTTGTAGCATTTACATGGTATGCAAAGGAGATCGGAAAAAATTCTGGTGTAATGAGATGTTTGTGGAAATGGTGGTATAAAATCCTCAGCCTTTTCTTTAGTACCGCCATCCTTTACAGCATAAACAATATTTTAAAGGTTACATATGTCTAGGAACGTGATAAAATGTCTGAAAGAAAATGATAATCACTTGATCTATTTACAGATGCCGCATGCTTTAGGTTTTGACCATTTGGCATTTAAATATCTTTGATATTCACTATTTTTCTTTTAAAACATTAAATTTCTGCATATATCTGTTTATCTCCTTTCTTCTAACGTGTCTCCCTCTGCAACACGACTAATGGTCAGCTTTGAATCTTCTCTCATTTAACTGGAAATGTCTCTTTAATCTTAATATCACCTTCATTAAACTCCGAAGATGCATTAAAGTTTGAAGCTTTATCTTTATTTGCACACATGGAGGGATTGCTTTAAGCTGTCTGACTGCCACTGGGTTCCTCCTGCAAGCTGCCCCCCATAGGGGAGGGAAATCACCATGGCAACCAATGATTCAGCATTTCACATCACTCAGTGGCTCCTAATGCACTGTAATTAAGTAGGACCTACGAACTAAGATGATTTTTGTTGGACTTTTTTTTGGGGGGTGTTAAATGACCTGATTGGAAATGATACAGAAATGTTTTGCAGGAGATTAAAATAAAATGCACTTTCAGGTTTAGTAGGGAGAGCTCCAAAAGTTTTCAGATGGAGAATATTTGCTTTATCGTTATGTTCAGCCAGTTACTAAATTTCCTCCACAGATTAAGTTTAAATATTCCTGGCAGTGCTGTGAGAGGTGCATATTTCAGAGTCCGTACTGCTTAGATGTCCATCACAATGACACAAACCAAGGTATGCAAATACACCCCCATTTTACTGCCATCATCTGATTGTTATTCTGAACATGTTTGGCCCACTTCTTCCTCTTATTCTCATTGAAGTTCAGAACCGCAGCTCTGCATCAAGCTGACAACACAACTTCTATATTTTCAGCTAAATTCTGCAGAGCACCGTACTGCAGGGGCAGGGCGGCGGCATTTTTACAATCAAACCAGAAACCTGAAATCTTAAAGTCATATTAAATCTACTGATCGAAGGTTTAGGTTTCCTAAAAAATGATTCTGTGAATATCGTTTTGCTTGTTTTACAAAATGTATTTAAAAAAAAAATACACTCAATGAAGAAAAAACAGTTTAAACCTCTCTATAAACAGCAGTTTGGGCTCATTTACATAAAAAGGATGGAACTAGAGTACAGATTAGAGCTTTGTGGTTTGGAGAGATCAAATTTTTTAAGTTTGAAAAGAAATGATTTAATTAAAAAGATGTTAGAATGAGTTAAAATTCAGTAACCTCCACAGTTGGCATTTATTTTTTTTATTGTAAAAATGGTGGCATCCTGTTCCTGCAGTAGGGTGACTTTCACATCCTATAGAAACTCTTTAAACTTTCTTAAATTCTTTATCTTTTCCTCTTAATTAGTCAGACTTTCTGACAACCTTTAAGACACGTTAAAAGATTCGTTCTGAGTGGCTATTTATTTTTCTTTGGACTCTGACTGCATTCATACTAATTTTTAGTCCAATTCATGAATGTTTTAGGCTTAAATATCTCCTAGCTCCAAAACAAACCAGGCTACTCATTTGAAGATCTTCAGGAAAACCTCAAATAAACACAATTTATTACCATTTTTATTATCTGAATCTATGTGGAAAAAATAAATCAAAGAAAACCTCCCGGTTTATCTAATTTTAAATAAATAACCATAAGGAGGTAATCAACGGAAGGATGATGCACCTCTCAGGTGAACTATTCAGGGTTTTTCCCTGTTTCCAAAAGTAATTATTTTTAGATAAGGCTAATCTACTGCTGACAGCTGTTGGAGCTGATATTTCTCCTTTTATGCAATATGCTTAGATATGTCAACACAGAATGAGACATGGGATGTGGAATAGAGAAGCTGAACATTTTTGCCCCTAAAAAACACCTTAAAGGAAACAAAAAATCCTGAATCACTTAAATAAAAAAAAAATAAAAAAAAAACAAGCCTTTCCTATGTGACAGTGTGCTGAATAAATGCAGGTAATAGACTTAATTTCAATGACTGCACTGTGAGTTCAGATACCAGCAAAGACTGACAGTAGACATTGTGTGGTGGGGGACGTACCTTCTGTCTTGGTCTGGCTCTCCTTTGCGCCTCCCAGCTGTTTCTCAATGCTGCCTTGACTGTAACACCTGGTGAAACGCACAGGTGACTGCAGTGAGCTCACAGACTCCACGCACTGCTCCGGGATCGGAGAGAAATCCACAGATGAGTGCGAGTGGGTGGAGTAAGTGGAGGAGAAAGGGTCTGCCGCTGCCTTGGTTGATGGCGATCCCCCTGCGCCGCCGTGTCTGCGTTTGCTCCTGGCGATCTCTGCGAAGGAGGTGACGCGTGGGGGAGGAGGTGGAGGGGGGGTGGTAGCCTGTGCGGCGCTGTCGCTCAGCCGGACGGGGCAGCTCAGCATACGTTCCATGGAGCCGAGCCGTGGAGAGGGACACCTGTCCAGGTTGCGGTCGTAGCTGCGGGACCGCGGGCGACACCCTGAGGCGGCTCCCTCGCCGACGACGCTCCGCTGAGATATAGGAGGAGAAACGTTGATGTAGACCTGGCCTTTAATGGTGGCAGGGGCAGCTTCAGTCTCTGCGGCATCCTGCTGATCGCTCTTTTTCTTCTTCTTCTTCTTCTTCTTCTTCTTGTCTTCATTGTCATTAACCTCATCTTCATCTCGCTGAATCAAGTGGAAATGGAAGAAAACCAAACCAGTTAAACTTCTGGAAAACTTTAGGAGATAAAACCCATTACTGTAACCTGCATAAACAGTAAACACATAGTAAAATAGCAGGCTAAACCAATAAGATTATCTTTTTAATGTAAACATGCAAATAAAGAGAGTTGTAATTGCTTGTTAACTAAAAATGTCTCATGGTAGGTTCATGCACCCATTGCAGAGTTTTGGCCAATCGGCAATTCTCGATACATGAAATTCCTGAGATGTTTAATCCGACTGTTGGTTGTTATAAGATAACAAGATACCTTCGATATTTCCATCTTATCTTAAAGGCATTAATCAGTAACTGTGAAACTATAAAAACTACTCTCAAAAATAAATCAAAGTTTAGAGCATTGACGCGGGATAATTTTCATTTTTGCAGAGGCCGATAAGATCGGCGAAAAACATTTTTCCTGTAATTTTGATGATAATGTTTTCCAGATAATTCAAATAAAACATCTCAGAAGTTTAGAATGAAATAAAAATATTTCCGCCTTTATGTAATACAAGAAAGAGTCTCACTGCCTGAAATTAGGGCCATACATTTGAGTTCATTTAAGTTTGAGGAAGTGCACTCTTTCTATTCCACCAAGGAGTATTTTTCATTGGTATAACAGTATGATGCCAGAGGCTTTTAGATGACAAATAAATGGTTACTCTTGATGACGGACATTAAAGCCATCATTTGGTCATACATAAATCTGACTTTGTATGAAGAAGATCCAAATATAAAATAAACTCCAAGTTGTCTCTTTACGGTTTTTTTCTTGGACAAGTTGCCCTTTTATGCGTCCATTTAAACTCAAAGTTCTAACCTTAGCATACAGTATAGTGTGATATGAGGTCTATAAATGAAAGAACTAACTTGCGATGATTCTCCATCTTCGTCCTCCTCCTCCAATCCCGCCTCCTCGCCCCGCTGCCTGAATAAGAAGTACTCGCTGGGCTGAGTCGGGGTGGGGCTGCCTTTGCTGTGCTCCGAGGAGCAGCTATTGACAGAGGAACCCGCTGGACTCGGGGACGACTGGGATGAAAGGTCACAGGTAACCAGCTTGTAGTAGTTCTGGGTGGCCACCACAAGTCGGGCCTGACTCTGCAGACAGGCAGCGAGATCGCCAGAGGACTCCGCATGAGGAGGATGGAAAGAGTTGCAGTTGGCGTCGAGGTCCAGTGGCCCCTGGTGCTCCATGGAGCAAGAGCAGGTGGAGGAGGTGGAGAGGTGTGGCTCTCGGATGAGTGGGAAAGTGTTGGAGAAGCATGACGTTTGTTGATGGGTTAAAGGAGGCTCAGTCGGGGAGGTGTGAAGGTCCAGGTAGAAGGCCCCTCCAGATGGATCCGTTTGGTTTCCTTGTAGGTCGGACACAGACGAGGTGCAGGAGTGGTCGGTGGAGCTGTTGACATTGGCGGGCCCGGACTGCAGCTGCTTCTCCGGGATGCTGTTGTTCATCTTGTTGTAAATGGCACTGAAGTTGACGAGGATGCCCTCAGAGCTGTTGCAGGACGAGTCGCTGCCGTAACCCTGCTGGAACTCTGAGAACGTCTCAGAGAAGGTTTCTGGGAACTGCTGTGGGAAGTTCTGGGAGAGAGCACAGCAGGAGCAGTGCTGATTGGACGAGCCGGACGAGTAAGAACCCGCCTTGCTGCTTTGGCCACATCTCATTGGATGATCATCATCCTCTTCCTCTTCGTCATCAACCCAGTCATGCTCTCCGCAGTCCATGGACATGTTGGAGCCGCTGCTCCCGTGTCTGCGCTCTCTGTCCAGTCCCAGGATGTCCAGGTCCTCCAGATGGTTGGAGAGGTCCGAGGCTGCTCCTCTCAGAGACTCCCGACTGCTTCCTGCGCCTGAGCTGTGCAGCAGGAACGGCTCAGACGCAAATCCCAGGTCATGCAGGTGAAAGGACGCCAGCGCGTCATCCAACGTGGAGTTTGTCTCACTGTGGAGGTGAAAGGTGTCCTCTAGGTAACCATGGAGGTTGTCACTATCTTCTTCATCTTCCTCATCCTCGTCGGTGTTCAGCAGGAACGGATTACGACGCAGAGGATTTCTGTTCCTTGGTTTTACCCTGGGTAACGTGTGAGCTGTAATCAGCTGGTCTTCTGAGTTACTTGAGGTAAATGACGAATCATCGCTTGCCGTGCTTCCCCCCCTCCCTCCACCTGTCTTTTCCCTCCGTCCGCCGTGGGAGGACAAGGAGCCACTGGTGGTCTGGATCAGGCTGCTGTAGAGCAGAGCCTCCTTCTGTAGGACGTCCCTCTCAGGAAGTGAGGTGGTGCGGCTCAGTCCCAGGGTCTCGGGTGGGCTGAACGGGTTGTTCCTCTTCAATGAGCCCCCGCAGCCCCCTTGCCGCCCCCCTGAAACCTGACAGTGCACCAGAGGAATGTGATGCACGATCAGGGTCTCGCCAGAAACTTTAGGAGGGCTGTCCATGGTCTAAGGGAGATGAAGCTAGAGGTATAGCAGCAGACCAAGCCTGAAGAACTGCTTGTTTGCAGATGTTTTCACTCAGCGGGGCCCAGCTGTGCAGGGCAACCGGGGATCTGGAAGCAGAGGTCGGGGAAGTCTACGCCGTGGTCAGAGTGGTACATCTGAGGGGAAACAGAAGGGAAAGAGAATAACTTATAAGAGGAACCACAACACTTGGCTGAATGCTAATCAGGAAATTCATCCATAGATTCAGGTTTTTGGAGATAGAAAGCATCCGAAAGTTTAAGGCAGTCCTGCACTACAGAAATCCACAAGGGTTTAGTGTTCAGTGTGGGCGCAGTGAGTCAGCATCACGTGGCGTGGAAACAGACACACCAAGCAGCTGACTCTCAGATAAGAATATGATCTCATTCACATATCAAAGCCTAAACATCACACATGCCGAAACACAGACACTACCACTACCACCACCATCATCTTTTTATTCCAGGGTGAAATAAACCACTGCAATAAAATCCTGCAATCAGTTTTATCCGTAAAAATCAACTGCTATAAAACATGAAGTCTTCTATACAGCAAAGTCAATGAAGACAATCTGTCTTTTTTTATTTGCCTGTAGGTAGTTACTCTGTTAGGTTATATTTATTCCAGCAGATTTCAGTTTGATGTTTTTTTCACACCCAGTGACTCTAACAGTGTCTCCCCTACACAATATAGCACCTAATAGAGATCTTGTAAGGCTACCATTTCCATAGATCAGGTCAATACTTATTGGTTTATCAAATCTTACTAAAAATTCTAATATAATTTACCCTCTTTACATCTGCAGTTTTAGACTTAAGTTCTTGAGAGCAAGAGAAACTTTTAGATTTGTCTCTGCTCCAACAAACCTGACTCAATAACTCATTAGTAGAGCTCTGCTGCTGCATACTACTGAGGTAGTTTAGTCATTTGATTCAGGCTTGTAGGGTAAGGATGACATTTAAAAGTTCCTAGACACTGGCCCCAGAGGAATTGAGTTTAAAACCACTGCTTTATTTTGTTTCCTCTGTACTCTTTGATGTATGAACAGTTCTGCAACATGGCATTTATCTAAAATGATTTAAAAAAAAAGACCTTTTGGTCCCACTATGTAGAAATCTGTGGAAGTTTTATCAGTCTAGATAAACATTGGTCTGTTTAAGGCGGACCAAATAATGGAAAGTTTTTAACTCTATGAGGCGCCACCTCCTGTGGAATAAGTGTGTTTTCACCAATAAATAGCACATGACGAATAACTCCACCTCACTGGCTTCAGCCAGTAGTTCTGCTCTCATTCAATGGCCTAAACATAAGTCCAACTTAAAAGATAAACAACAGTGACAGACTTATGTTCTTACTAGTTATCTATCATTTATAGAATTATATTTTGGGATTAAGCTCATCATCGGCTCCCCATTATAATGTCTGACGATCAGCAGGCTAAGACCGATATTAATACATATTTTCTTTATGAAGATTTCTTTTTTGGAAAATCAAATTATTATTCACCAATTCACTCCTAACATGTATAACATATGTTTATCAGTTTCTGTTCTTGAAGATGAAGACTCATAAGTAATAAACTAGCTCCCTATATGATAACACTAGCTGCAAACATTTGTTGTTTAATTTTTTGATTCTTGCAAGAAGTGACTGTTTTACAAGCATGTATAACAGCTTGAATTTTGGTTCCCCTTTGAATGAAGGTCATGCCCCCAGAGGGGATGACTAAAATCAACTGGCTGTGTGTTAGAAAAACAAATAAAAGTGTGAATCGAGCTGCAATCATGGTCAGATAAATCTGCATATGTATGGAATAAATTCAGCATAAATTCTATGGAATGCGCTGATCTTTACATTAGAGAAACCAAACAACCTCTCCACAGACGCATGGCTCAACAGATAGGAGAGCGACCTCCTCGGTACAAGACTCTGCAGTACAGTACATCTTCACCTTATGGACAAAGGACATTCTTTTGAGGACCAGAATGTTCACATTTTGGACAGAGAGGACAGGAGGTTTGAGAGGGGTGTGAAGGAAGCCATTGATGTTAAGAAAGAAAAACCAAACTTAAACAGAGGGGATGGACTCATATTTCAGCTTTCAAAAACCTACAATTCAGCGATAGAGTTGATTCCCAATCAAGTCTGACCCGGACTGACTGAGATCGGACAGAACACCTCTGATGTCATCATTTTAAGCAGAGGCTTCCCTCAGGGCCGCATCCTGAGCCCCCTGCTGTACACCCTGATGACACATGACTGCGTCCCCAGCTTCACCACCAATCACATCGTGGAGTTTGCAGACGACGTCACGGTGGTGGGCCTCATCAGAGACGACGACCTGGACTACAGAGAGAAGGTGGAGCAGCTGATGGACTGGTGCAAAGATAACAGCCTGATCCTGAATGTTGAGAAGATGAAGGAGATCATCTTGGACTTCAGGAAGAACTGGCCTAACCACGCTCCACTGGTTATTAACAGCTCAGCTGTAGAGGTGGGCAACAGCATCAAAATCCTCAGGGTGAACATCAAAGAGACCCTCAACTGGACTGTAAACACCACCTCACTGATTAAAATGGCACAGAAACGTATGTACTTCCTGTGGAGGATGAGGAGAGCCCACCTGCCCCCATCCATCCTCACCACCTTCTATAGAAGCACCATAGAGAGAGCGTTCTGACCAGCTGTCTCACTGTGTGGTGTGGAGGCTGCAGCGCCTCAGACTGGAAGAAGGTGAGGAGAGTCGTAAGAACAGCAGAGAAGATCAACGGGGCTCCTCCTCCCTCCAATAAAGACATTTCATCCCAGAGCTGCGTGTCTACAGCCCGTAACATCATCAATGACCCCTCACCCCCCACCATGGACTGCTCGTCCTGCTGCCCTCTGGGAAGAGGCTTTGAAGCATCTGATGCAGGTCCAGCAAATTCCAGTATTTTCCCCACTGCCATTAGACTACTGAATTTTGAGTAAAATGGGTTATTTTATCTATAAAAAAAAAAAAGTCTATTCCTTCCCGCTATCATCGCAACCCCCATCCCATTACAGGGGACCAGAGCACCTCGCCTGTTCAGCCAACCCAACAATTCCCTTTAACGACCCATCTTTCAGAGAATTTGAAAGGATCATATATTGCAGGTAAACAAAGTAACAAAACGACCCCCATTCCTAAGGGCAGACCCGGTCGTTCTATTTGCATGTTTTCTAAGCCAAAGCAAGGCTTTGCTTTGGTCCACCGTATAAAGCCTTAAACTCAACACTATTTCTGACATTTTGAATTGAAAAAGCTTCCTGGAAGGGAAGCGAAACATATTCATACTTGGAAACAAAGTCCATTGCATTGTTTTTAACGTTTTTGGAAAGAAATCAATTTAAAAAACTACTCTGTGAATTTGGTTTGAAAAAAGAATGTGGAAATTAGATTTCTAAGCTTTATCATCCAGCCATAACCAGCATACTAAATGGCTTCCTTTGCTGGATGTGGAGCACAGCTAAGATCAAAGACTTAAATCCTCCTTTAGTGGTTCCACATGATGTCGATTCAAAGCCATGAAAACCTTACAATTTTTTTTTCATGTACTTAATTTCAGCTTTAAATTATCTATTTTAATTTAGCCTTGGTCCTTTAATTATTCCTTTGGCAGGAGTTGTTGAATCACTATAAGCATTAGCTTAATCAGCAGGACAAAGGCTGGAGTAAAATTTAATACCTGACAGAGGGAACGGCAAAGAGTTTAAGGGATAAGCTGTAGGGTCAGAAAGGTTGATTGTGTAAAATGTCTAAGAACAAATTGGTGAAGAGCTGTGACAAGAGGATTTAGCAGGTTAATTATTTAAAAGGGTAATTCATTTATGTAATGAAAGTGTAATGGTTTAATGCCCGGTCTATAGCTGAGAAAAATTTAAAGGTGGAAATATGTGTTCAGGCGATTTTTTTCTCTTAGTAGTTGGAGGAAATTCTCAAGTCAGATAAGACAGAAAACATTCAGAGGCAAAGACCAACAGAAGCTAAACCGGAGAAATCTGGACCATAAACATTTTATATGTAGATAGGGCAGAGGGGACGTGCAGATCCTAAAATGTCAAGGAATCTCATTCGTTTTTGGATAAAGAAATAAATATCTGAGTGCAAGCGAATGCAGCTATAATCAGAACCAAGCTACAAGTTCTTCACCTCTTTCAACACTTATCTCTTTTTAAATGCTCTAAAATGGGAAAGCAAATTGGCAGTAAATTGTAAAGTAAAATGCTTGTAGAGCTTTTCCATAGGGTTATTTTAGAGTGACAGAAGTAGCTCTTCACCAGGCGCTCTGGTGAAGAGCTGTGAACACATTTAATAAATTCAACTCAGACTTCTAAGCGAATGGAAGTGGAGAGCTTAAATCTGAAAGATTTTAAAGGAGCAACCGGCCTAATCTGCAGTCAAGTAAAGGTCATTGGTTTAATTAAAGCGCTACCTACATGCTAAAAGATATTCTATAACCTTCCAAGATGAAATACATTGGACATAAAGTTAAAATCCAACTGACAGACTGAGCAGACTTACAATCTTTGAGGCTTTAGCTTGGAGAGGCAACCAGTGTTTTAAACAGTTTTGCATAAAGTTGTCACTTTTTCATATATGTGGGAGAAAGTAACAGTTTGTTTACTCTGAAGGAAACGAGAGACAAACTGTCCAATAAGAAGCGAAAGTGAGGAGCTCAAGTGAAGAGTGATTTAGCTTATTATTTGCTTTCACTAGTCCTGAACCGAATAGTTCCTTTGGGGAAATAGGACAGCCTGTGAGCACAGGGAAGTACCTTATATTTAAGGCTTCAGGAAAAGGAAACAAAGCTGAAACAAAGGACGTCCGCCCTGTTAGATCATCAGGGCTGTACTTCTAGGGATATAGAGCCTGGTTAAAGAGCAGGCAGCAGACTCTAACCAATGAGACACAATTCACACTGACAGAGATGAGGGTAAAGATCACAATTAATGAAGTTCCGATAACTTAGGGAATGTAATCTAGTAAAATTATAGCACAGCTCTTGTATAAAATTGGTGACGGATAACCAGTCCTGATAGTTAGGAACTCAGGATCAACTCAGGACTCAGTATTTGTACAGGTTTTTCTGTCAAGGCTCCATACTTCTCCACAATC